AGCTACAAACTTGACTGCCGATATTCTCAGCTACAAACTTGACTGCCGACATTAAGTCTCAGCTACAAACTTGACTGCCGACATTAAGTCTCAGCTACAAACTTGACTGCCGACATTAAGTCTCAGCTACAAACTTGACTGCCGACATTAAGTTTCAGCTACAAACTTGACTGCCGACATTAAGTCTCAGCTACAAACTTGACTGCCGACATTAAGTCTCCGATACAAACTTGACTGCCGACATTAAGTCTCAGATACAAACTTGACTGCCGACAATAAGTTGACTGCCGACATTACGTCTTAGCTACAAACTTGACTGCCGACATTAAGTCTCAGCTACAAACTTGACTGCCGACATTATCAGCTACAAACTTGACTGCCAACATTAAGTCTCAGCTACAAACTAGACTGCCGACATTAAGTCTCAGCTACAAACTTGACTGCCGACATTACGTCTCAGCTACAAACTTGACTGCCGACATTAAGTCTCAGCTACAAACTTGACTGCCGACATTAAGTCTCAGCTACAAACTTGACTGCCAACATTAAGTCTCAGCTACAAACTTGACTGCCGACATTAAGTCTCCGATACAAACTTGACTGCCGACATTAAGTCTCAGCTACAAACTTGACTGCCGAATTTAAGTCTCAGCTACAAACATGACTGCCGACATTAAGTCATAGCTACAAACTTGACTGCCGACATTAAGTCTCAGCTACAAACTTGACTGCCGACATTAAGTCATAGCTACAAACTTGACTGCCGACATTAAGTCACAGCTACAAACTTGACTGCCGACATTAAGTCTCAGCTACAAACTTGACTGCCGACATTAAGTCATAGCTACAAACTTGACTGCCGACATTAAGTCACAGCTACAAACTTGACTGCCGACATTAAGTCTCAGCTACAAACTTGACTGCCGACATTAAGTCATAGCTACAAACTTGACTGCCGACATTAAGTCTCAGCTACAATCTTGACTGCCGACATTCTCAGCTACAAACTTGACTGCCGACTTTAAGTCTCAGCTACAAACATGACTGCCGACATTAAGTCATAGCTACAAACTTGACTGCCGACATTAAGTCTCAGCTACAAACTTGACTGCCGACATTAAGTCATAGCTACAAACTTGACTGCCGACATTAAGTCACAGCTACAAACTTGACTGCCGACATTAAGTCTCAGCTACAAACTTGACTGCCGACATTAAGTCATAGCTACAAACTTGACTGCCGACATTAAGTCTCAGCTACAAACTTGACTGCCGACATTAAGTCTCAGCTATAAACTTGACTGCCGACTTTAAGTCTCAGCTACAAACTTGACTGCCGACATTTCTCTTCACTACCATCGTGTTTTGTTTATCATCAACACAAAACATTAAAATTATCAACGATAACAAAATAAATGAAAGAACATTTGAAATCTTCTAAAACTTTATTGACATCCATACAAACAGTTTGTTAACAAATACAAACAGTTTGTGAACAAATACAAACAGTTTGTAAACAAATACAAACATGAATTAAAGTATAAATAAAGACAATGATGGCGATGACAAATCTAATGTGGAGGTTTAAACAAAACAAAGATACAAGTGTAGCCTATAAAAATTTCATTTCTCAACAATAAACATTTGTTTATAATTTTGTTTATGTGTCTAGCAACTCTAAACAAATGACGTGAAAGAAACCAAACAATTTAAGTTTTATGAAGGGAGCCGCCATTTTGTTTGTTTACATTAGACAAGGGGCAGAGGCGTAGCGAACCCTCCCGGCGCCCGGGGCGAACTTTCAGTTTGGCGCCCCATATATATATATATATATATATATATATATATATATATATATATATGTGTGTGTGTGTGTCTGTGTGTCTGTGTGTCTGTGTGGGTGTGGGTGTGCGTGTGTGTGTGTGCGACAGTCCGGAAAAAAAAATTTATAATTACGCTTTATGATTGTCGTTCCCTAAAACTTAACTCGATGCCAATTAAATTCCCCTTAAGATGCATTATCCTTTTAAAAATGATGATAACTAATGTCCAAATGTCCGAAAAAAAATTATAGCGGTGCTAATTCGTTTAGGAAAGTCTTTTTATGTTTTATCTTTGGAACAGTCTCTGTTATGATATAGTACATAGTTGGATTATAAGTTTGTTAGATTAAGATGAAACAATTGACATACAATAGCAAAAGTATTGTTCATATTGGAATACGATATGGGTATTTCGTTGATTGGTTGATTGTATAATGAAACAAGCTCGAGGAAACGAAGTGGAATCCAACGGACACAACAGCTCGAAGTCTTGGATTTATCAGATGTGCGCTGCCTTCTCGCACACGGTCAAGAACTAATTGTACTGGATGAAGAAGCTGTAATAAGAAGCTGTAATGATAATAGCTGACGCCCATGACGTTAAGGAGGAGGCTGGATTATTAGGGTTCGATCTTCATAAAAATCAAGTGAGTTGACGAAATGTTGCCTACGCCAATGTTCCTTATGAAGCCGAAACGAATAAAAAGAAGAAAATCAAAAGAGTTTAGAACAGTGGGTTCCATCGAACCCAAGAGGTTCGGTAATTCAGTCTCTGGACTTCCGCGGAGGTCAAGATACACAGCCGACTCATATGATTCACGATCGGATTTTGTCAGTGTGGACGATACAACTATTAAGAAGGGTTCGGTGATTGCGCATATGAAACTGGTGGGGTTCGTTACCTCCAAAAAGTTAAGAACCACTGCTTGGAGAGTATTTTGTAGAAGGTGCAAGCTTATTTTGTCTACTTTTGGTCGTTTCTTTAGAAAATTTCGATAATAGTAGGCCTATATTACAATTTTAAATTATCAGTTAGGTTGAACAAAGTAATAATCAGTATATATACTAATTTTCTTCTCTCTTAAAATTTTGGTAAAGAGTGTCGCTTTCCACCACCCGCTCCGACAGTCTGCTATTTTACTGATCGGATAGCGATACAAGAATCCGTGATAATTATTTCTCTTTAATGAAGTCATCCAGGCAAGATGTAATACAATCAAGTAAAACTATCTGATTTCTCACGATAAAGTTGAGAATCGTAAGAATCTTACAAAGAACTGGTCGCGTTATTACTTAGCAAAAATAAGCGGTGAAATAGTACATTAAGTTATAATACAATTGATTTCTTTTCTAAGTGTTAAAAGAGTTATCTAGTTACCGATCCAGTACAAATCCTGCGATTTTTGTTGGTGAAAAAGAGTCCCACCATCTTGGACAAAAAATGGTAAAGCGGATTTTAAACGTCACTAACTCTTTTTTTATGTTACACAATTGTGAATTACGCTTTAGTTCAATGGTTTTCTTTTCTGAGTGATATAGGTTATTTATTCCTTAATCCAATGTGAATTTTTCCGCTTTTAGTCTTCGAAAAAGCGCCCCCACCCCCATCTAGGAAAGCTGGAAAGCGGTTTTTCCGGTCACTGTTTTTTAAGGATTACGTTTTACAGTTACACAATCAAGGTAGAAAACAGTTAAATCAGTATGCAAAGGCTCTCAGCCGTTAAATTTCTTTACTTTGACTGTTTATAATTCAAAACTGCAGCTTAAAATGAGCTTTAAAAAAAATTTCTACCCGTTTTGGCGCCCCCCTAGGGTCGGCGCCCGGGGCGGCCGCCCTCCCCGCCCTCCCCTAGCTACGCCTCTGACAAGGGGAGAGAACCAACAGTTACAGATGGATCAATACAACACATCCACCCCACTATAATTTCCTTCAGAGTTTGATCCACTGTGGGGATGTGACCACCACCACACGCCATATTCCGGTATGTAGACATTTGCTCCACTGGAGCCAGGACATGTACATGTTGTGTACGTGTACTTGTACCAACCATCCCTCTCATGTCTGTGTGTCCATTGTCCTACAGAGACCTGTTTAGGACAGCCATGAGGATGTGACACTATAACAGTCAACTTGTCCTCATCACCAAATCTCCTGTATTTCTCCCTTACTTTCTCACATAGATCATCAAAGTGCCACCACATCTTGTCCAGTTTATCAAGCAACTCTAAGTCACATGACACACATGTAAACCTACAACTGTCTCCCTCAATGTCTGCCTCCCTCACCCCCCAGCCATCAAGACTGACCACTGGACTTTTATTGTCATCAAAACCTACAACACACTTGGTCTGTCTCACCTCACTCTCATCAAACACCAGGTGTGTGGCTGTCAACACAAGAACCTCCCCCCACACTTTGCTGGGTGTGTCCGAGTGTTGACACTTGCCACATGGACAAGTGCCCTTGTTGTCACTCTCTGTGTACTTGACCACACGACTCACCCTCCCCGTCCCTGTCCTCAACACGTCACTTCCTCTGGTGTTATAAAATGGATACTGACCACTGAAGCATGGAACAGACTTTGGTCTCTTTAGACTGGTGTAGTTGACCTTTATCAGGACCGTTAGGGCAGACAAAACTTTGATTACCTCCAACATGATGACGTCATGGTAACGTGAGGGGAGATGATCCAAGTTAAAATCATTAACAGGTATAAAGTTGACATGACCTGGATTCTTCTTACAGCTGGTATAGTGCTTGTGTAATTCAGCTTCACCTCCATAGCAGATCTCGGCTTCATGGTGTCCTGAGGAGATACAAGGGGAGGGAATCCATATTTTTAAAAAATACAAATTTAAATGTATTTAAAATAAGCAACTTGTCAAACAAATAGTGCAACTAGAACAATTAACAAAAACTTCATATTTCTATTTGTTTTATTAGCTGGTGAAGATGAAATAGAGTTTACATGTATCATGTGGTATATATTGCCTGCCAAACGACCATTTAACTAACCATCAGTTGTCAACAGGATCAGGTAATATATTAGCTGTGAAAGAACACATGCACTTCATATATGTAAATAATGTAATCATGTGCCCAGCAGATCTGTATAAATGTAACTTCTTACATTTTACGTACATTTTGCATACATATTTCACACAATCTGAGACTCACCTGGGATAAAATCTCCTTCAGTTTTTTTTTCTTCAAACTGTGTTGTCTCATCTTGTCTTTCTTCCAACTGTGTTTTCTCATCTTGTCTATGTGTTAGACCTAAAACAATTTAACATCAAGGTTTCAATTAGATTAAACACAAACCTATACCAGTAAATAAAACATTTCTCTAATTGTAAAGCAACTGGGATGTTCTAAACATTTACAGCAAATACAAAACATGTTACCTAGAAACATTTATTTTACCTTTCTCTGCCAACTGATTTTCTCTTTTCTTCCCACCTGTATTTTCCATCTCTGACAACTTTACCTGCAATAAAAAAATTATTGTAAAATAAACTTACATTATTATGATTTTGTTACAAAAGTTATCATCATTTAAGTCAACTTTATGGATGAGTTCAGATTCTATTCTGGTGATGTGAAGACAAACTATATGTCTTTTTCATAAAAGCTTTATTATTTTTGTGTCAATTTGTTTTTCTTTTCACTTAGTTATCAGCTAGATAAACTCAAATAAGAACAAATTATTTTTATAACAATATCAAGTAAATAATCTTAAAACTCACATTACTTGTGCTTTTCTTCAATAAATAATGTTTTAGTTTTAGCTAATGTCATCTTTAAAATGTTTAAAATGTGTGGCTTTTAATTGTCTCACATTTTAAATATTTATCTGCCATCTATCAATAGTCTTTCATGCCAGATTCCACCCCCCCCCCCCCACCCCTTAAAATGATATCACACCTCAACCTTGTAATTTTTTATTATTAAGAGATTTTATACTAAAATACCTTCAACCTATTGAAGCTTAGTATATATTTCTATTACAATTTATAAAAAAGTATTTTAAATGTGAAATAATGGAAAAAATTCAGTTTCAAGCACATCTTAATGTGATTCTAAAATTTAAACCTACAAAAGAGACACAAAATTATTGACAAAATTGTAAATACATTTTCTAAGACGTAATCAAAGTTGACTTTAAAAATATGTAGTCTATTAAAATGCTAGATCAAATTCTATTGAATGAATAAAAAAATGCAGGCTTCAACACAAACCTCAAATTGGATCTTTTGAATAACAAAATTATGTCTTCATAGCCCTATTAATGGGTGATTCCACTGTCTATATGTTTCTATCCTTTGAATAACAAAATTATGTCTTTGTAGCCCTATTGATGGGTGATTCCACTGTCCATATGTTTCTCCTTCATACACCTTGATAAAAAGACATGCATACTATTATATACCTTCATAACTTAAGAATATAGGAGTACATCTATTAACAAATCTAGATTAACAGTGTATGCTCTAGTCTAAACTCTAATTAATTTGTGTAACGGATTCTTAATTTTATAAAATTTTGCAGGTGTGGTGATTTTGTAGACTGGATAGATAGAGTTAGTCAGATCTAGATTCTATATACTATATATTTATCTAGATATAATCTTTATCCATATCTAATTACAACTGGATTAATAAGTGTTGCAATATTTAAATATAATAAATGAGTTAGATATACAGGCCTATTCGTAATACCCCAGTTTAGCATCGGTTTTTATTTCGGAATGGTATAGCAGTTAAAAAACAATAAAACAAAGATTAGTCTATAGCAATGTACCGGGAGTACTGTACACCATACTTGATTTGGCACCATCTTTTATTTTTAATATTGAACATTAAAAAAATTGGATGGATTGATTTTTTTGCATGTTGAATACTGTTTTGCTAATCATTTTGTATTGCTAATTTTTTTTAAGCATTCCTGATAATTATTGCTGTTACTAAATATTTTTCTATTAGCCATTTTTATATTTGCGCAATCATTTTTACTAGATCTAGATCTAATTCTAAATTGATTAGTGCAAATCCTCTGCAAGATTTTTATTTCTGTCTTAAAAAAAACATTAAACTAACTACTACACTTGACTTTATTATTTATATTTATAACTAGGGCCTATTTATTTCTGTTTCCGAGTGTTGATTAAACATAAAGTTCAAACATTAATTTAGTACATTGACTAGATCTATATTATATTTCAACAGTAAAAACAAATCACGGTTTACACTAGTAACTAATGTAAATGAAACTCAACAAACATTACTGGATAACTTCCATGCTATACTGGGGCCGGATTTCCTGCCTATTAATGTTATAGAATCTGGAAATAGAAGTCTAACAGCTGTGCAGTGGCTTACAACTACAGTGTCTAGACATGAGTGACTAGCATTATTTCCTTTTTATTCAGATCCTATCTGTATCTTGCAATCTAATCTAGACTAGATTAGGCCTATTCAGATTAATTTAGGCTAATAATTTAGAATTTAGGCCTAGATCTAGATCTAGATCTATCATCTAGAACTATCAATTATTATTATTATTATATATTCTAGACGACTAGATTCTAGAACTAGATTCTGTAGTAGACTGTGTAGAGTAGTAGTAAGTAGATCTAGAATCTAGATCTAGACATCTTGAAAGTAGTTTGAAAGTAGATCTAAATCTAGAGACTGAGAATCAAGGAGGTGCAGTAGCCAGTGTACTCTCTGTACTCTGTACCTGTACGACTGTGGGTATTCTAAATATTAAAATTAAGGGCTAGTCATAGTCTAGATCTAGAGTAAATCAACGACAGATTGAGTTGTGTCTAGATCTAGATCTGTATCTTTGAAAGTTTGTCATACACACAATTCATTAAAAATTAAAATACTAAATATTTTGAAAACCTAACATTTAATTTAATATTGTTGTCTGTTGTCGTCTGCTGAGATCTGAAGCACGCAAACGGCAGCGGCAACGTAATCGATACTGTAAATATCGTGTTATTAAATTGTCGATCAAAATAGCTAAATTGTTGTTTGTCGTATTTTGTAGTGTAGATATAGACTAGATCTAGATGTAAATCTTGTTTTAAAAATGCAGCACACGTAGAATCTAGTCTTTATTTTACGATAACGTAAGAAATATTTGATTTTTTGTGAAAGTTCTTGAAATAACTTGTTCAATGCAGTTACGCCGAGATGTTATGACATGAATACTAGCCAGATACACGTCAGTATTTTAAGATCAAATCTAGAATCTAAATCTAGTCTAAAACGTGTTGTTATAATTAAATATTTAAATGTCAAAAGCCTTTTTTGATTAAGTCTTAAAATAATGTCTCAAAAGAATGTTTTTAAAATCTACGTCGGATGACAATACAATAATTTAGATCTATATAGATCTAGATCCATTAACAACTGTTGAATACTCCAATAATTTTTATCCGCGAATGACGAATGTGTACTCTAATCAAATTAATTATTGCAATAATAAATTGCAACATTTGAAGTTAATTTTTAAAGCTTGTAATAACATTAGATCAATATTTATTCATTTCCAACGGGAATGTCAACACGACAGATGACGAAGAGTTTCAAAAATTTCAATTCTATGGGGGCGAGATGAGGGTGGTGTGGATGACATGGACTCACAAAAAATTCAACAAAGAAAATCTAATTTATTTAGTTTCCAGAATGTTATTCAGATTTTATCGTATAAGTTAAACGTTTTGTTAAAGTGGTAAAGCTGAACCAAAAAAAAAAACAAAAAAAAAAAAACAACAGATTAACTTACTCTTACAACACCGTTGACCAGGTCTTTCTTGAACTGGTTTCAGGTCTGCTCTTGGGGATTATTATGCGTTCGGGAAATCCTGACGGTATTATTACATATTTTACTATTTTTAGATTTCGGGGGTTTTCCTCACTACTTTATTTTTATCATTGAACGGAAATTCCAATATTATTTTTTCAATGGTTTTCGAATTTTTGTTTTTTACTTTCTCGTATATACGAAGTATAGAGAAAGTATTGTAATCGTGCACAAAAATCACTTGAAATTTTAACAATTTTCACCGTATTACACCTCAGTCCTTCATAGCATCCGAAGTATAGAGGACTTATTTTAATCGGGCAAAAATTATCAATCTATATTTATCAAAATTAAGAGGTTTTATGCGTAATCCAGTCTGAAAAACTGGGCTTTGCAATTCTGTCCGTATGTCTGTGTGTCCGTCTGTCTGTCTGTGTGTCCGTGTGTAAACACGATAACTTGAGTACCGTTACAGTTAGGTTGATGACATTTCATATTTAAGTATTTTATCAAAATCGTAGATCCGTATCAACTTTTGAGCGATTTCCGATAACCGGAAGTGGTACTTTTTCTACTTTGAATTATTCAAAAGACTATAACTTGAGTACTATTTCAGATAGATAAATGAAATTTCACACGTAAGTAAAAGATATAAATCTCTACCTTCTGCTAAATTTTGAGAAAATTCCATTGAACGGAAGTAGTAATTTACGCTACTTCCGATTTCTCAAAAAACTAATTTATATTTTTAAAGTACTAATAATATTGCGCACTATTATGCACGTTTTTATTTGGCGTTCACTTGGTGTGCAATTCTTTTGTCTACGATATTTTATTCTATTTTTAAAACTTTAAGTATTTAAAAATTTTAATTTAAAATGGATTAAAAATCATGTCTATAGCCCAAGTTCCCATCCCCTGTTGTTTTATACAAGAATATTCGAGAAAGTTTAGGGGAGATCACTCCCGGTTTATTTAAAAATAAATTTAAGAACTTTGTAATGGAATTTTTCTAAAACGAGTTAATGATTGGGGTAGACCTTGGCGTGGAAGCTGCTAGAAATTGAATGATATAAACACGAGGGTTAATTATTTTTGTTCGTCCGTAAATGCCTCACGTTTTTATAGACTACTATTTAAATAACTATAAAGAAAAGCGTGGGTCTCTTTCTTAATATTAGTAAAGGTATCCAACAGATACTAAAGTGGCCCACGCTTTTCTTTATAGTTATTTAAATAGTATTATATAATTTATTTTCTACTTTTTAGTGCATTAGTACATACAAGCTTGTTATTAAAACGTTTTTTATGAATTTTTTAAAATTTACAATAGAGTTACATGACTAAAAGCCATTGCGCGCGTACTGAACGTGATGGCGCAGCTATTGAACGTGATGACGCGTGTGGTGTGGTTGGATAGACAGCCTGCTAATTCGGTCCAAATTTTAATTAATTCATAAAAAATTAATTAGGCATCCAATTAAGTCAAATTTAATTTCAGATTGTATTGTCTTCTAGTCTTGACCCACGTGCCAACTGTGAATCGTATCGGTGAAGTAGAAGTGTCCGAATTTTCACTCCGGCGTTTCGATCCAGACTGACGACTGACTGACGACTGACGACAGAGAAAGCGAGTTAAATAAAAGCTTGTAAATTTGCCACACTTTAGTCTCAAACCCATTCAAAATATCGTTTTTTTTGTTTCATGAAAGGGCGTTTCCTTTTGAAATTTTAATTGTAGCTGGCTATAAGTGTGGATGTTGAGTAATTTATTATATTCATAAAAAGTCAAATAAAAACAACCTTTAAATAACTATTTATTACATCAAAATGAACATCATATAACATTACCGTTGGTTCTTATCACTTGTCAAGTTTGAAATAAATCGATTTGTTTGATTTGGTGACATTTCTTGCGAAAGTTTTGAGTTACAAGTTACAAAGCAAAAACATTAATCAACGGGAATCAAGTGAAAATTGAAACTTGTAAATGCTAAATAACTGCTAATCTTTAAGGAGGTAGGCTGTGGTAAAATAAACTTTATAAATACTCGATAGGAAACAATTGTTTCTCTATAGCTGTTTCAAGGTACATCTGCATGTGTTTTCACTAAAAAAATAATTGGTGGAGAAATCTTGGTAACTATAACAACGGCGGCCATCTTGAAACTTAACCCCTTCGTAGGTTTTCCATCATTCATAAAATAGTATGGTTTAAACAATGAACTCATAATCTTCTTTCATTATTTTGTGGTACTCAGCTAAAAAATTTAAATTTAAGTACATATTTTCAAACTATTTTTTTTTTAATTTTAAAATTTTTGGTTCTTAAAAACATTAGTTTTAATGCCTCAAAATTCCCCTAAATTAAGAGCTTTGAACAGACACACATTTTGAAAATTCATAATAATTCATTTTAAAAATATGCACTTAAATTTTTTAGCTGAGTTGGGCCTATCCCAAAATATGGCTGAAGATTATAAGTTCATTGTTAATTGGGCTTAAAATATATATATATATATATATATATATATATATATATATATATATATATATATAAACAAAGTGGTCGGTTGCCTGATGGGGCATTTACAGGCGCCGCAGGCACTTCAAATTTGGCATGAGTCTGCCTTGTCGGCCTTTTGTCTTGTCGGCCTTTTGTCTTGTCGGCCTTTTGGATGTCGGCCTTTTGGCAGTCGGCCTTTTGTCTTGTCGGCCTATTGTCTTGTCGGCCTTTTGGGTGTCAGCTTTTTGGCAGTCGGCCTTTTGTCTTGTCGGCCTATTGTCTTGTCGGCCTTTTGTCCATGTCGGCCTTGTGTCCGTGTCGGCCTTTTGTCCATGTCAGCCTTTTGTCCGGATCCCCTTGGGGCAACAGAACACGAGAGCCGGTGCCGGTTGACCAACAAGTCCACGTAGAGGGGGTCAAATCTGACCTCGATTGACCGGCGCCCCATATGGGCTATATAACGAAAAAAAATTTTGCCAAACGACTCCCTTGATATTTTTAGAGGTGGTAGGAGAACGCATAGGGGTATCACAAAAAACTCGCCATGTCCGGGAAAAATCTGGAATGGGTCAAAACTGACCAGTCGTATTTCTCTATATAATCTTTGTATTTTATGTGAAAAACAGAGGGTAAAAAATTATTTCAACAGAAATTTTATGGTACTTAACCTCAGTACAATTGTCAATTTTTTTGCATGCACCTCTATAGATGACTAGGACGTATGAAAGAACTGTAGGTCAGACTCAATGCCCTCGACGAGGGCGAAAAATTGACCGCGAGTGAAATTCTCCTTATATGAGAAATGTATATATATATATATATATATATATATATATATATATATATATATATATATATATATATATATATATATATATATATATATAAATTGACGAACGATTCCCCTAATATTTTGTGAGGTCGTAGACCGACCCTAAAGGGTAACAATAAATCTATATTCCCGTTCGAAAAACCCTAAGGGTCGTTAAATTTTTCCAAATGCTATATTTTCTTATGTAAACAGTTGTTTGTGAAAATGTATACAAAGATTACGTGATTTGGCCTATGTACAGGGGAGGTAACTTTTTAAAGTAATGATTTAAAAAAATATTTTAAAGAGAAAACGAAAAACACAAAGTATAGTATTCGTTTAAATAAATATTTCGTTATAAGGTAAATTATGATTTTTTTTGAAATTGTAAAAAATAATTGCTAAAGTAATTTAATATAATATTGTATTAAATATTTTTTTACCCTGCATAATTTTTAAAACATTAATTATATTAGTTTAGTAGAAAGCAAGTTATAAGTTTCTATAGTTTAGAATATATTTTCAGTATGTTTAGAATAATATTAAATAAAGCAATTCACGTTTTGCTTACTTTTATTATGTTCTGCTCAATATTTTCAGTGATTAGACCAAAATTATTACAAACAGCAAGTTTGCATTAAATGATATTCTTCCACTGTTAAAACTAGACCGGTATCGTTGAATAATACGCAAAAATAACGATTTTAAGTATATATTTCTGAAATGACAATGGAGCATTGTTAAAAAACGGAATCACGGTAACATGAAGGTAAAAAAAAGGTCAAGTGACAGCCGACCTTTATGGACGCCCCTTTCCCCGCTACCCTCCCGCTTATCAATAAAGTCGTCCAAAATGTAGGAAATCCTCAATCCCGGGGAGTGTGACGTCATGTGGATGACGCTCACTGATTTATGACGTATTTTGTTGTTAGGATAGGTTACCATTACACCATTAGTGGGGCAGGTCAGTGATAAGACGGGATCGGATGTTTGTGTACCGACGTGTCCAGTCTGTCCAGTCACCGGATGTTTGTGTACCGACGTGTCCAGTCACCGGATGTTTGTGTACCGACGTGTCCAGTCACCGGATGTTTGTGTACCGACGTGTCCAGTCACCAGATGTTTGTGTACCAACGTGTCCAGTCACCGGATGTTTGTGTACCGACCTGTCCAGTCAGTCCAGTCACCGGATGTTTGTGTACCGACGTGTCCAGTCAGTCCAGTCACCGGATGTTTGTGTACCGACGTGTCCAGTCACCGGATGTTTGTGTACCAACGTGTCCAGTCAGTCCAGTCACCGGATGTTTGTGTACCGACGTGTCCAGTCACCGGATGTTTGTGTACCGACGCGTCCAGTCACCGGATGTTTGTGTACCGACGTGTCCAGTCACCGGATGTTTGTGTACCGACGTGTCCAGTCACCGGATTTTTGTGTACCGACGTGTCCAGTCAGTCCAGTCACCGGATGTTTGTGTACCGACGTGTCCAGTCACCGGATGTTTGTGTACCGACTTGTCCAGTCAGTCCAGTCACCGGATGTTTGTGTACCGACGTGTCCAGTCAGTCCAGTCATCGGATGTTTGTGTACCGACGTGTCCAGTCACCGGATGTTTGTGCACCGACGTGTCCAGTCACCGGATGGTTGTGTACCGACGTGTCCAGTCACCGGATGGTTGTGTACCGACGTGTCCAGTCACCAGATGTTTGTGTACCGACGTGTCCAGTCAGTCCAGTCACCGGATGTTTGTGTACCGACGTGTCCAGTCAGTCCAGTCACCAGATGTTTGTGTACCGACGTGTCCAGTCAGTCCAGTCACCGGATGTTTGTGTACCGACGTGTCCAGTCAGTCCAGTCACCAGATGTTTGTGTACCGACGTGTCCAGTCAGTCAAGTCACCGGATGTTTGTGTACCGACGTGTCCAGTCAGTCCAGTCACCGGATGTTTGTGTACCGACGTGTCCAGTCACCGGATGTTTGTGTACCGACGTGTCCAGTCACCGGATGTTTGTGTACCGACGTGTCCAGTCACCGGATGTTTGTGTACCGACGTGTCCAGTCACCGGATGTTTGTGTACCGACGTGTCCAGTCACCGGATGTTTGTGTACCGACGTGTCCAGTCACCAGATGTTTGTGTACGGACGTGTCCAGTCACCAGATGTTTGTGTACCGACGTGTCCGGTCACCGGATGTTTGTGTACCGACGTGTCCAGTCACCGGATGTTTGTGTACCGACGTGTCCAGTCACCGGATGTTTGTGTACCGACGTGTCCAGTCACCGGATGTTTGTGTACCAACGTGTCCAGTCACCAGATGTTTGTGTACGGACGTGTCCAGTCACCAGATGTTTGTGTACCGACGTGTCCAGTCACCGGATGTTTGTGTACCGACGTGTCCAGTCACCGGATGTTTGTGTACCGACGTGTCCAGTCACCGGATGTTTGTGTACCGACGTGTCCAGTCACCGGATGTTTGTGTACCGACGTGTCCAGTCACCGGATGTTTGTGTACCGACGTGTCCAGTCACCGGATGTTTGTGTACCGACGTGTCCAGTCACCAGATGTTTGTGTACGGACGTGTCCAGTCACCGGATGTTTGTGTACCGACGTGTCCAGTCACCGGATGTTTGTGTACCGACGTGTCCAGTCACCGGATGTTTGTGTACCGACGTGTCCAGTCACCGGATGTTTGTGTACCGACGTGTCCAGTCACCGGATGTTTGTGTACCGACGTGTCCAGTCACCAGATGTTTGTGTACGGACGTGTCCAGTCACCAGATGTTTGTGTACCGACGTGTCCAGTCACCAGATGTTTGTGTACGGACGTGTCCAGTCACCAGATGTTTGTGTACCGACGTGTCCAGTCACCGGATGTTTGTGTACCGACGTGTCCAGTCACCGGATGTTTGTGTACCGACGTTTCCAGTCACCGGATGTTTGTGTACCGACGTGTCCAGTCACCGGATGTTTGTGTACCGACGTGTCCAGTCACCGGATGTTTGTGTACCGACGTGTCCAGTCACCGGATGTTTGTGTACCGACGTGTCCAGTCACCGGATGTTTGTGTACCGACGTGTCCAGTCACCGGATGTTTGTGTACCGACGTGTCCAGTCACCGGATGTTTGTGTACCAACGTGTCCAGTCACCGAATGTTTGTGTACCGACGTGTCCAGTCACCGGATGTTTGTGTACCGACGTGTCCAGTCACCGGATGTTTGTGTACCAACGTGTCCAGTCACCGGATGTTTGTGTACCGACGTGTCCAGTCACCGGATGTTTGTGTACCGACGTGTCCAGTCACCGGATGTTTGTGTACCGACGTGTCCAGTCACCGAATGTGTGACCATCAAGATTTGCTCCTGCCTTGAGATACCAACAGGATGTTTTGTTTACATTATGAGCAGGAAAACACTGGCGCCTCTCTATTGGACTAGTAAGGGAAGTAACCAATCTATATAAAGTTTCATTTAAACATTGATTTGTCTCGCCTTGTTATTTATTTTAATAAATTGATAAGCTAAAACTAAAATTTTAACGAACGACAACCACTAGAACTGCAAAGAAATAAAACAATATAAATGATGATTGACATCACTGACACATCTGGCCACATGTACACAACAACACCGTATCTAAAATCCGCCATGTATCCTACATAAAAATTGTTCCAATACTTCTCTTTTAGACGTCTTTTATACACACATTTTTTACCTTAGGGGAACAATTCACAACACTTGGGGGGGGGGGGGGGGGACTTCATACATACAACCACCGTGAATGGTTTGTTATCAACGCAAACCTTATTACATCAGACACCAGAGGCGTAGCGACCCTTCCCTTTTCGATTTGCAACCCCCCCCCCCCCTCAAGATTTCAATTTCCACATCCCCCTCAAACTTTCGATTTCCACCCCCCCCCCACAAACGTTCGATTTGCACCCCCCTCAAACTTTCGATTTGCACCCCCCCTCAACCTTTCAATTTATTTTTCCAACCCATTTTGGCGCCCCCTAAGGTCGGCGCCCGGGGACATATGTCCCCCCCCCCCTCGCTACACTACTGTCAGACACAATAAATGATTAGAAGAAATATTTCACAATCCTGTATTGACATCAAGTATTATCAGTAGCAATGTGACATAACAAGTAAACAATGTACACAGATTACTCGGTTATATCATCAGCTTTTGTGCTCACGACACAAGGGGCTGATTAAATAGATTTTATCTGTTAGATGACATTTTCATTCGAGGGGATAGTATGGTGAACACTGCCCAGCCTTCATTTTCTGACGTCTGGTGCCCTTCTCACGTCATGCAGGCGCTTCTCGGGATCCGAACTCGAAACTTTCGAGCAAGAAGTCAAAAAATCTACCATTCGAAATGTGTTTTGAACATATCTATTTTTAAAAATATCTAACTATCAGCAAGTAGAGTCAAACAATCTCAAAGAAATATGTATGTCTTTAATCAAAAGTTGCTGATGAAGACATTTAAGTTTTCACACATAAGATGAATTAACAAAATTGTGATTTTGTTTGTTCGTAATGTAGGAAAGGAGAGGTAATCAGCCAATTTACCACCAACCCTCCCCAGAAAAACTTCCTTCAGAGTTTGATCCACTGTGGGGATAAGAAAACCACCAGCCAGACCCCGGCATGTAGACATGTGCTCCACTACAGCCTAGACATGTACATGTTGTGTACGTGTACTTGCACAAACCAGCTTTCTCAAATTTGCGTGTCCATTGTCCTACAGAGACCTGTTTCGAACAGCCATGAGGATGTGACACTATAACGGTCAACTTGTCCACATCATCATATCTTCTGTATACATCCCAAACTTTCCTCCATAATTCCACAAAACGCATACCCATCTTATCCAGCTCATCCAGCCAAGTTAAGTCACATGACACACTTGTAAATTTACACCAATCTTTATCAATATCTACCCACCCCACCCCCCAGCCATCAAGACAGACCCCAGGACTTTTATTATCATCAAAACCTACAACACACTTGGTCTGTCTCGCCTCACTGTCATCAAACACCACATGTGTAGATGTCACCACACTAACCTCCCCCCACACTTTGCTGGGTGTGTCCGAGTGTTGACACTTGCCACATGGACAAGTGCCCTTGTTGTCAATCTCTGTGTACTTGACCACACGACACACCCTTCCCGTCCCTGTCCTCAACACGTTACTTCCTCTCTCCTTATAAAATGGATACTGACCACTGAAGCATGGAATATACTCTGGTCTCTTTAGACTGGTGTACTTGACCTTTATCAGGACCGTTAGGGCAGACAAAGCTTTGATTACCTCCAACATGATGACGTCACGGTAACGTGAGGGGAGATGATCCAAGTTAAAATCATTAACAGGTATAAAGTTGACATGACCTGGATTCTTCAGACATTCCGCACAGTGCTTGTGTAAGTCAGCTTCACCTCCATAGCAGATCTCAGCTTAATGATGTCCTGGGGAGATACAAGGGGAGACTATCTACAAAATGAAACAATACACTTAAAACGCTGATGTTCTTGGTGGAGTCAACTATTGTTGTACTATTTTTTAACAAGAAGACAGAGCGTCCATACTTTTGCAACGAGTTCGCTGTCTGTCCTGTGGATCCCACGCGGAAACTGTTTTGTAAGATTTCTCTACGCTGGACGTAAATGGACAAAGTCCATTTGTGTTTCTGGCTGCCAATGTTTCTCTTTTCTAAAATCCGTGTGATTTTTGTTGGTATGAGAAAGGTATGTCCAAATCCCACTTTTGCTCCTGTGCAGCTAATTTTTGCCTATTTTTTCCCCCAAATGATTTGTTTAAAACATTCCATTAGAACCCCTGATTTATACGAAGCAAGCATTCATCTATGACGGCCTTAAATTTGTTATTACTAGTGTTACTCTCTGGGATGGGAGATTTTATTTTACTTCTTAAATGGCACTATTGGGGATCGTTCATCTTCACTAAAATCCTGTCAGGTACTCAAGAATAAAATGAATAACAGCAAATTTTATACATTATTTATGCCAACATCAGTTTGCACTAAACCCTACTTTTATTACTATCTGCTATTACATACACTACTTTTAAAATCGTAACCAAAGTTAAACTGTCCGATTCTAATTGCCAACAACTTAACGATGTAATCTTCACAAGTCGCCTACAGCTACTACACGATTTCTAGTTCCCCTGATTTCAACAGTACCTCTGCATAAATGTCCATGACGTATGACTGGTCAACTGGCTTCTCATTGGTCGGTCTCTTCTCTTGGTTCCTACCTACTTGACCAATGGCTCTCTGCTTTAATCCTACACTAATCGAGAGGTCTCCACTCCTTAACTATTTTTAATTATTTTCGAAGCTTGTGTAATTACACTCTCCACGTCGCTGTGTCAGAAAGGGATACATAGTAAAGTTTGCTGTTAAATGGAATAGAGTAGAAAATGCACTAGATATTGATTGTGACGAGGGTTTGGGTACCTGGTCTAGCTGATTCAGCTTTTAATGTCCTCACTTGCTCACCCGTTCTTGTTTATTTTCATAGACATTTAAAGCTTTCCACATCTGAAATTTTTTTTCTTTGTATCTACTAGTAAATGACATGCTCTGACTTAATCCTACGTGTGCTGTAGGGCCTACATTGTATCTTGTCCACGAACTACTTCAGCACCTGACACTTAAGTCTCAATTGGTTCTTGCTAGATAGCAATTGTGGCTCTGAAGGTAGAGGATGATCCGCCTCTTACATGTGGCGTTCACTGATTGTTCACGTGAGGTGTGTCAGTTGACAGAACGCGTGCTAGGGTGTGTCGAGGTTGGTTGGCGTGTTTGATAGTTGGTTGGTGTGTGTGGAGGTTGGTTGGTTGGCGTGTGGAGGTTGGTTGGTGTGTGTGGAGGTTGGTTGGTGTGTGTAGAGGTTGGTTGGTATGTTTTGAGGTTGGTTGGCGTGTGTGGAGGTTGGTAGGTGTGTGTGGAGGTTGGTTGGTGTGTGTGGAGGTTGGTTGGTGTGTGTGGAGGTTGGTAGGTATGTGTGGAGGTTGGTTGGTGTGTGTGGAGGTTGGTTGGTGTGTGTGGAGGTTGGTTGGCATGTGTGGAGGTTGGTTGGCGTGTGTGGAGGTTGGTAGGTATGTGTGGAGGTTGGTTGGTGTGTGTGGAGGTTGGTTGGTGTGTGGAGGTTGGTTGGCGTGTGGAGGTTGGTTGGCGTGTGTGGAGGTTGGTAGGTATGTGTGGAGGTTGGTTGGTGTGTGTGGAGGTTGGTTGGTGTGTGGAGGTTGGTTGGCGTGTGTGGAGGTTGGTTGGCGTGTGTGGAGGTTGGTAGGTATGTGTGGAGGTTGGTTGGTGTGTGTGGAGTTTGGTTGGTGTGTGTGGAGGTTGGTTGGTGTGTGGAGGTTGGTTGGCGTGTGGAGGTTGGTTGGCGTGTGTAGAGGTTGGTAGGTATGTGTGGAGGTTGGTTGGTGTGTGTGGAGGTTGGTTGGTGTGTGGAGGTTGGTAGGTGTGTGTGGAGGTTGGTTGGTGTGTGTGGAGGTTGGTTGGTGTGTGCGGAGGTTGGTTGGTGTGTGTGGAGGTTGGTTGAAAGTGTGGAGGTTGGTTGGCGTGTGGTTTGAGAGAGGACTTGGATGAGTGTGTTTAATAGTGTAGTATATATTTCTGTAGTATTTTTGTATCATCTAAGTCCTGGATTAAATTGTTTATTTTTATTTAGTATATTGTTAAGTTCGTTGTATGGTGCGCTATACGTTATTGGTCCTGTTTATTACAGTAATTATATGCTCCACCACTCTTATATATATATATATATATATATATATATATATATATATATATATATATATATATATATATATATATATATATATATATATATATATATATATATATATAATAGAATCTGACACTCACCTGGTATAAAAGCGTCTTGAATTTTTGTTTCTTCCAAATCTGTTGTCTGACATTGGCTGTCTTTTGTTTCTTCAAAATCTGTTGTCTGACATTGGCTGTCTTTTGTTTCTTCCAAATCTGTTGTCTGACATTGGCTGTCTTTTGTTTCTTCCAAATCTGTTGTCTGACATTGGCTGTCTTTTGTTTCTTCCAAATCTGTTGTCTGACATTGGCTATCTTTTGTTTCTAAAACATATTTATTGTAAAATTGCTGATCTAGATTTTATTTAACGATTATAAAATATGTATTATTTAGCGTTAATGAAATCAGCTGAGATTTAATAGAGTTAGTGTACAAATAAATATTTGGTTGTATAAAAACGTGAAGTTATTAAACAATTAATTATTATACTGGTATATCTTCATTTCGACACAAAGGCACATAACTATACACGTACTTCGGTAGTAGGATAACAAGG